TGTGGGGCCGCGTCCGGCCTTGCAGCCCCCTGGGAAGCTCGGGGGGGAGGGCGGGCGGCTCAGGGTCCCACACGCTGCTGCTGTTGGCGGGGAGTGACCAGCACGAGGTGCCCAACCCCCCTCGGCCGCCCGCGGCGCTCCGGGCACCCAGCCCGCATTGCTGCTGTGGGCCCGGGCACCGCCGTCGCCTCACGCCGAGGCCCTCCGCCCGCCTAGGTCTACAACAAGGAGCTGGAGGCGGAGTTCGACAGCTTCGAGGACTGGCTGCACACGTTCAGCCTCTTCCGGGGCAAGATCGGGGACAACGAGGACACGGGGACGGAGGAGGAGCGGGTCGTGGGCCGGTTCAAGGTGAGCCTGCTGCAGCCCTGGAGAGCGGGAGGTGGCCCGTGGGGGCCCGTGGTCGCCAGGCCCCCAATAGGTATCGTTTTCCCTTGCCCCAGGGCTCCATGTGTGTTTACAAAGTGCCGCTTCCCGAGGACATCACCAAGGAGGCCGGGTACGACCCCAACTTCGGCATGTTCCAGGGGATCCCCAGCAACGACCCCATCAACGTGCTGGTCCGAGTGTACGTCGTGCGGGTGAGTGACCCCGTGTGCTCCGCGGGCAGCGGGGAGGGGCAATTCCGTCTCAGGGACACGGGCAGGAGGAACCAACGTCTTGCTATTCTAGAGGACAACTTCCTAACTCGGAACGTGTTCCACCAAGTAGGGGGAACTCAACAGTCAGCCTCATCCTGGCGGAGAAAGAGGAGCCGAACCGCCCCCTGAGCATTAACGGTAGCGTTAATGACTTGATCACAGTCTTAACGGGCAAACAGAATAAAGTCCAAGTCGGTGGTCTATATGCTGGATGCGTTGAAAGGGCCAGTTTCACGACAATGCTAAATGAACATGAGCCAAAAGCGCTGGGAAGAAGAATTTAATCAGAAAAACTGTGAATGATAACTGGGAATTATTTAGAACGTTAAATTACTAGATACCCAAAAAGCCACAATTCCATAGGCAAAAAAGAAGGACATACTGGTTAAAAAAAATCCCTGGTTTAGAGGGTAAGTGAAGGCAGCAATAGCAAATGGGGAAAAAATGGGACGTTGATGAGGAATATAAATTGTAATTGTAGACAACTGATAAGGGAAGCAAAAGGACATAAGGAGAAGCCTTAAGTAATAGAGTTAAGGACAATAAGAAGGAATTTTTAAAATATATTAGGAACAAAAGCAATCCTAACACTGGTAGAATTATCATTAGTAATGGAGAAAAGCCGGAAGTGTTCAATAAATATTTCTGTTCTCTATTTGGGAAAAAAGAAATGATATATCAGCTTTAGATACTAAAGTGCCAGATACTCGGGATGTTAAATTGCAAATAATCCACAAATTGAGTAACTGATGGAATTTCCATTGAATGTTGATAAGTCGACATGGGAGGGAGGGGGCTCGCTAACCCCTCTGCGGCTCTGCAATTTAAAGGTAGTAGGAGCCGGGCTCCATGAGCCATGGTGGGTCTCGTGTCTTCCTCCCAGGCCACCGACCTGCACCCGGCCGACATCAACGGGAAAGCCGATCCCTATATCGCCATCAGGCTGGGCAAGACGGACATCAAGGACAAGGAGAATTACATCTCCAAGCAGCTGAACCCCATCTTCGGGAAGTAAGGCCCTGCCGTGGCGGGGGGGAGGGCGCCACGGGGCCCCTGGCGGCCACAGAGGGGCGGGGGTAGGGGGCAGGGCCAGCGCGGGTCAGGGCAGGCGGGGCCAGGCAGAGAGGGCAGGGCGCGGGAGGGGGTCGGGTCCGGTCGTGTGGGGGACCCAGCACTGC